CATTTTTGGATGTGACTCTGGAAACCACAGAGGAGGAACAAAACACTTCCTTTGCCATTTCCTTGGGGAGGGTGTGTGGCCCAGGGGTAGTGTCTGCTTGGCAAAGAGTCCCAGGTTCAATCCCCGGCATCTCCAGCTAAAAGGACCAGGTCATAGGTGATGGGAAAGACCTCTGCCTGAGACCCTGGAGAGCCGCTGCCCCAGTCTGAATAGGCAGTGATGACTTGGATGGACCCAGGGTCTGATTCAGTATGAAGCCACTTCATATGTTTATATGTTCCTTGGGGATGTTCAAAGCAGCTCGGGATAGGATGGACTTATGTTTGTAAGTAACAATGATTATCCTCAGAATGCAGATTGGTGCTTCAATGAGGCACTAAAAATGTCAAGCAAAATATAAAAGGGGAGGGAGAAAGTCCTCTTTTCCCCACCCAAGATGTCTTTCCCTGACACTAATAAAACACTTTCGGACCACAGAAGGCTTCGCTCTTGAAGGGGGGGGGGGGAAGCCAGAGATCAAAAGATAAGCTGTCAGCACATTCTTCTAGAATCCCAGTGTCCTTGACATTTCCCATCCCTGGAAAGGCTCGAAACAAGGAGTTATTTGTCAAGCCTTGTGAATCAGGCAGTGAATCAACCGGAGCATCTAAAGTCCAATAAACAGAGGGCATTAAATCACTGCTAGCAAGGGCCATTAACACCCACTGCTGGCTACACTGCAGCGGCTGAGATAATGCCAGACCTCCCTCCTGATTTTGGGGGGGGGGGAGGAATTCTGTTCGGAGCTGTCGTCAGACCTTGCATTGCAAATGGCCATCAGCGTGGGCAAGAATGCAGAGGCAAAGAAGGATGATGCCAGGGGCAGAGCGTGCTGTAGAGGTGGATGGCAGAAGTGTCATTTGTGTGTGACAACAGTATAGTGAAAGGTAGGGTTGCCAGGTCCCTACCTTCTGTCGGTGGGAGGCTCCAGCCCACTCTTCTCCTGGATCTTCTGTCGTGCGTGTGTCACAATGACACCACCCGGAGGTTTTGCAGGGGATGCTCTAGCATTTGGCCAAAAACTCTACGGTCACCATAGAGTTTTTAGCCAAATGCTAGAGCGCCCGGCGTGATGATGTCACCTCGGACTGATGTCATCATGCCGGGCACGTCAGGCATGGTGGGGCTCTTTGGGGGCAGATCTCCCCCCCCACACACTGGCCAGTAGTGGATTGGGCCCCCCAAAATCGGGGAAAACCCTGCCCCCATCAGGGGAACGGCAACCCTAGCGAAAGGTCTGAAGTGCAGATCAGGGCTATGTATTCCAAAAACCTGAAAGAGTGCCCAATATGCTTTATGAGTAGATGTTATAAATCAGTTCCCTTTAGGGTTTTCCAATAAGCTATGACTAGCAGGCCCTGACTAGCATGGCCCAGGCTAGCCTGATGTCCTCAGATCTCGGAAGCTAAGCAGGCTTGGCCCCGGTTAGTACTGGGATGGGAGCTCTCCAAGGAAGCCCAGGGTCATTACACAGACGCAGGCAACGGCAAACCACCCCTGCTCATATCTTACCTTGAAAACCCTAACGGGGTTGCCATAAAAGTTGGCCGCGACTTGACAGCATTTTCCACTGCCCTTATGCATACTTTTAAACTAAGCATTACTAAAATCCTCACACCGTAATTAAAATAATGGCAAAGGATTACTGGCAAAGAAATCCGTGCCAAGACATTTACCAAAGTTTGTACATCTCCCTCAGCAGCATTCAAATCCCGCCGGTTGATATGGTGACCACGGTTATCTTCTCCGTTCGACGTTTCGTTCTTTTCGTCTTGTCCAGTAGCTGACATCTAGAGAGGCAGCACCAAGAAAAAGTTTGATGGTTTATGTGTAAACACAGGCATCCCCATGGGGAGCAAACACTGGAGTTCCAGAGAGTTAAATCTGATGCAAAATCTGCGGACATTCGGCCACTCTTGACCAACGGTCCCTCTAATTTCCCCCCCTACTGAATGGAGCAGTTCATATCCTGAGCAGAAGATAACGGCTGTTATCTTAAAATGGGCAATGGGCAGTGCAAGACCCTGCACAGTTCCAGACTGCTGCTGAGCGGGGCTTCCTGTGTCAATGAGCAGCCGCTCACCCACACAGCTCAGGAGGAACACTGCTCTTGACCTGTCTTATTCCTTAAGCTGCTTATTCACTAAGCCTCACCAGGTGAGTCCATAAGTGAGTGACTCTGTGACCAGATCTTGTGCAGGGAAGGTCTGTGCTGCCAGGTGGGCTGAATGACAGAGTGCCTCCATCATAACCTTCCAGAATCTATTTGCTCCCTGGACCTCTCACCTTGAGAAGAATTCAACCCAGCATTTGCACAAAGCAACATGTATGTTATCTGGTTTATTATTTATGTTATTTATAATCCACCTTTCTCACTGAGACACAGGTTGCGATCACACACACTAAATAATCCACTTTCAATCCACATTCCAACTGGATTTTACTGCGTGGACTGGAAAAGTCCAGCTGGAAAGTAGATTGAAAGAGGATTATTTAGTGCATGGGTGTCAAACACGTGGCCCGGGGGCTGGAGCAGGCCCCCGGAGGGCTTCTATCAGGCCCACAGTGGAACTGGCTGTCTTTTGTTTCCAGTTCTGCTGCTGCTGTCTCATTGTAGGTTTGCAGCTTACAGATACACACCTGAACAGCAAACTCAAGATTGCAACAGCACAGACACCTCCGAGCAAGAGGTGTCAGTTATCAGACACCATTAAATAAACAAAATATTGCAAGAGTGCTAATGTTTTAAGCATGTTTTTATTTTAAGTAAAACAAAAACCCCTTTGTGTTTGCGTCCTTTATAAAGTTTATATCTCTGCTACCTGGCATTACATTTTATGACATACATGGCCCAGCCCAACAAGGTCTCATTTATGTCAGATCCGGCCCTCATAACAAATGAGTTCGACACCCCTGATTTACTGTGTGATAGCAGCCTCAAAGATCATAAAGTGTAAATCAGGGTGCCAAACATGGTGCCCAGGGAGCCATGGCACTCGCCAAGTGTTCTTAGGAAGTGGGTGTGGCCAGGTAGGGCTTTTGATTGACTACCGGAGATTCAACTGGCTGGGCAGAATTCTTAAATGTTGCTTTGGCAGCAGCTGCCACCACAGCCCTGAGATCTGTACTGTTTTGCTGAATTTAAGCTGCCGCAATCGTTTTGTGGCTGGCTCCACCTCCTGCACCAGCTAGCCGTTTTGTTGCAGTGCCCACCATGCCACATCAGAACTCTGAATGGGCTCGCAGGCTCAAGAAGGTTGGGGACCCCCGGTGTAAATCGATGTAACCGTTAGGACCATACGTCTAATAAGCAATATAATAGGATAAGGAAATACAGAGACGTGAAACAGAACTGTCGTCCCGATAAAGCATAAGTCGTGCTCTGGAGTAATGTTCCTTGTATGCTAACCTCAGGTAAACGGGGAAGGAAGCATCAGCATGGTATGCTAAGTTCCATCTACACAGCAATATATGGGAACAAGAAAGAAATTCACGTGCCCAAATTTTATCCAAGATGACAGAGCATCACTTGCCCCAGAGTCCCTATCTATACCTTGTGGCTAACAGCCACTGATGGACCTCTGCTCCATATGCTTATCTAATTCCCTTTTGAAGCCGTCCTTGCTTGTAGCCGCCACCGCTTCCTGTGGCAGTGAATTCCAAGTGTTAATCACTCTTTCGGTGAAGAAGTACTTCCTTTTATCCATTCTAACCCGACCACTCAGAAATTTCATGGAGTGCCCATGAGTTCTTGTATTGAGGATTGCTGTATCTGAATATACTTTATGGATGTCTACATCTATCTATAAAATGTTGATTCCAGCATGATTCTTGAAAACATTACTGAAATGGATTTATAACCAGGGGCCTGTCGTGTCAGCTGGCAGAGATAAATTGTTTTTGGAAAAACTCCACCTGTGAAGGCAGAACAAAAGGAGGTTTACTATCACAGACTGCAGGTCCGTATTCACCTGAGACAAAAAGAAGATGGGAAAGAGCGAAACAAAGTTCACACCAGATAAACCTTTCCACGTCTATCCACAAGACAGACCACAAGCAGCCCTGCTTTACACAGTGAGGGCTGTGGAGCTCACCGGCACAAGATGGCTTAGACAGATTTAGATGGTTATTGGACAAATTTACGGACGATAGGCCTATTGCTGGCTACCTGCCATGATAGATGGATGTGGCTTCCTGGTGTAGTGGCAGGACGCCCCGACTAGCAAATCTTGGGGAACAGTCAGCAGGTGAGGACTGCTGTCTATAGCATCTGATTGGCCACAACTGGGAAAAGGAAGTTGGACTAGATCAGGGGTCCCCAAAAGGGTGCACACGGGTACCAGGGTGTCTGCCAACACCTTTTCTGGCACCAACCCTAAGTGTTCGTAGAAAGTGGGTGGGGCCAGTTAGGGCACTTGCTCCACACAGCTTCCGACTGGCCCCTGGAGATCCCATTGGCTGGGCAGATTAACCTAATGTCGTCTCAGTGTTAGTTTTATTTTATCTCACTCCTCGTTCCCAGGGTATTTTAAAAAAATTATCCCTGTTCTCCCCTGCACTTAGGATTCCTCTGGGTGTGTGTCGCTCTGTCTTCTGGAGCAGTCATCCTGTGGCTGGATTCACCTCCCGTGGCAGCCATTTTGTGGTTACGCCCAGCAACCTGTGCCAGAATTCCAAAGGGGTCTGCAGGTTCAAGAATGTTGGGGACCCCTGGACTAGATAGAAGGGTAGGTTTTGATACCTAGCTTTTCTCTACCCTGGAGCTGCGGTGGCTCAAGTGGTTAAGACGCTGAACTGCAGGCTGTGGAAGGTCAGTAGTTCAGCAGTTCGAGACCCCAGTGCCACATGACGGAGTGAGCTCCCATCTCTAGTTCCAACTCCTGCCAACCTAGCAGTTCGAAAGCAAGAAATTGCAAGTAGATAAATAGGTACCACTTCGGGGGGAAGGTAACAGCGTTCCGTGCGTCTTGGTGTTTAGTTATGCCGGCCACATGACCACGGAAATGTCTTCGGACAGCGCTGGCTCTTCGGCTTTGAAACGGAGATGAGCACCGCAACCCTAGAGTCGGACTCGACTGGCTTTCGAGCAAGGGAACCTTTACCTTACCTTTCTCTACCCTAAGGAGTCTCAAAGCAGCTTACAATTGCCTTCTGTGCCTCTCCCCACAACAGGCCCCTTGTGAGGCAGGGGGGGCTGAGAGAGTTCTGAGGGAACTGTGACTGGCCTGAGGTCACCCAGCAGGCCTCATGTGTCTCAAAGCAGCTTACAATTGCCTTCTGTGCCTCTCCCCACAACAGGCCCCTTGTGAGGCAGGTGGGGCTGAGAGAGTTCTGAGGGAACTGTGAATGGCCTGAGGTCACCCAGCAGGCTTCATGTAGAAGAGCGGGGAATCAAACCCAGTTCTTTGGATTAGAGGCCGCTGCTCTGATCCAGCATGACTACTCTTACGCTCTGTCCTTCAGCTCCCACAGATTCGCCTAACATACCTCAGTACCACCGTGCTAATCTTATTCTTCTTTAAAAAGGGACTTCTGGTCACGGAAAAAAGAAACACTCCCAAAGCATGAGGTGACTGAGACAGGCCCTGTAATCCTTTGCCCGCGAGAGCAAAAGGACTACACAAAACACAGGCCGTGTGAGATCACAGACCACCCCCCAGACGTTCTGGGCACAGTGCCCTAGCAGATCTTCATTCAGCAGTGTGATGGAGGGAGGTGTTAATGGCCTCTGAAATGCACAAAGCGGCTGTACAACTTTTATTCTCAAGGTGTTCATAACTCATGGATTCTACTAAATATAGCGAATGACTTCACTGCTTCCCTAAAAATGCAATTATTCCTGGAATGGAATAAAGCAACATTTGTATTCCCCACCAAGTGCATTTGCCCACGATTAAAGAGAAGGCTGAGGCGCTCATTTGATCTACTGAAAATGATCTTAGATAGATACAATCAAAACAAGGCGTTTTTCTTGTGATTCGGGTATGCTTGCTGCGGACATGAAAGCTGTCTTTTGAAATTCTCCGGCAAGAAAAAAAAAATCGATAAAGAATTGTAAAAAGAAATGTAATCTACTGCATGGGGATGCGTCAGTCAGGGAATCACCTGTAAAACTGCATGCAATCCCCATCTGAAATCACTCACCAGGGCGTAACATTGCTACATATATTTACTTAGAGTATTTCTGTGTCATCTCTTCAGAGTCCTGCTCGAGGTGGCTTCAAGAGTTCTCTTAAAGGGGAAAAATCCTGGTATACATTGATGGAGATCCCAGCTACCCGCCTCTCGCTCTGTCTCCTTAAGCTAATTCCCCCAATTAAATAGGAAACTGCCTCCTGGGGTAACAGCACAGTCATAACATAAGAACATAAGAGAAGCCAAAGTTAGATCAGACCAATGGCCAATCTAGTCCAACACTCTGTGTCACACAGTGGCCAAAAATACCAGGTGCCATCAGGAGGTCCAGCAGTGGGGCCAGGACACTAGAAGTCCTCCCACTGTTGCCCCCCCCCAAGCACCAAGAATACAGAGCATCTCTTGCCCCAGCCTGAGAGTTCCTATCTCTACCTTGTGGCTAATAGCCACCGATGGACCTCTGCTCCATAGGTTTATCCAATTCCCTCTTGAAGCCGCCCATGCTTGTAGCCGCCACCACCTCCTGTGGCAGTCAAGTCACCTGGTGCTGATGAGTAAGTGCTCATATCCACATGATCAGGTATGGTCAGAAATACAGCACTAGAGGTACTCAAAAACAGACACCCTATTGAATTGTCTTAATATTTCGTTCTCTGATGTTTAATATGTGTTGTTATTAATACTAAGCCATATCGACTCAGACCTATAAGAAACAGTGAGCACTCCGTAACATGAGTATTTCCTTTAACAATCCAGTGACCCCGTGATGTAGGACAGAGCCAGTCTTACCAATTCCGTCCTCTATTTCCATCTTCTCCTAGAAGCCACTGCTGCCTGAAATTTTGCCACAACCACAGTAATACAGTAATACAGCCAACTTCAGAGGACGGCGGAAGACAGGAAGGCCTGGCGTGATCTGGTCCATGGGGTTGCAAAGAGTCGGACTCAACTGTGCGACTGAACAACAACAACCACAGTAATACCGGGATCCGTATTAGCCAGCAGGAAAGGCACAGAAACAAGGGGAACCTAAGAAATTATCACCAGTTGTATCCATAAATCTCTCAAAGGGACAGTCAACACACAATCAGAGAAAATAGGGGATAAAGTCAAGTGCACATAATTTATCTGAGTAAGATACTTCTTGGAATCTACCCACCAAAACATCAGAGGGGGGGGATACTGGTATTTTTTTTTCTTTTTAAAAAAGGCTTCTTTTTACCTTAATTTTTAGTGGGTTGATCTCCATATCTGTCGTGCAGTTCATGGGCCCTTCAATTTCGTACTGGACGATATACAGCAAGGTGTTGTTGTTGTACTTGTATGGCCACTGAAGATTAAGCATCACTTTGCTGAAGGCACTTGGGCCATTATTTCTGAGCTAGAGGGGGAAAAATGGAAAAGTGTTGGGATTCTGTGATTCAAGATCTATGGTCGTTTTGCAAACACAAGAGCCACATTAGTAAAAGAAAAATATATTTACTACAAAACAAAATAAAACATGGGTATGCTACTTTGGATAAAAGAAATAAAATGAAAGGTTACATACTTGCAGTTACTTTCAGTACTAAATGCTAACAGCTACATCTTTCTATCTATGTTGACTTCTAGAGGAGAACTTCCTCTCTGGTTCACACAAAGAGCCATAAACCTTGTGAATACATTAATGCTAGATCAAAGCATTTCCACAAGCAAGTTGTTAGTTAACCAATACAAAGGTTACAGGTCACTTCATTAGGATAAACAACTCCCACAAACTTTCCTGCTGTTGAATACATTATGTAACGTAACATACTGATTCCTAACAAACAACACTTAACTCTGTAATGACTGAAGTGTAAGCAACTTGAAACTCCAACAAAAAGCAAATGGGCCACGAGGGACTACTTCCATTTGGCTTTCGCCACATCAACCGATCCCATCTGGTTGTTGTGGCCCCGACAGCTGGCCTGTGGGAGCAGCTGGAGAGTCCTGTCTCTTTCGCTGACCAAACCAAGGGAAGCCTCCCTGCCACAGCTCATGGGATTTGTCTGCCCCACCCCCTTTGTAGGCCTGTCTGTGGAAAATCTCACTTCCCTCTTTGTCCACTAAAAGCACCTGAGGCAAACAATGGTTCCCTTACCCTACTGCAGTGATTCAGGTGAGGCAACAGTAGAAATCAGGAGACTAGGCTACATCACACAGACCATAGGCCTGGAGGGTTTTTTATGGCTGTCTAGAGCCTAATGTGTGAGGAACTTGAGTGATGTGAAAAAATATATAGAAGAAGAGAAGAGATTGGATTTATACCCCGCCCTTCACTTGGAGTCTCAGAGCGGCTTACAAACTCCTTTCCCTTCCCCTCCCCACAACAGACACCCTGTGAGGTAGGTGGAGCTGAGAGAGCTCTGACAGAAACGGCTCTTTTTCAAGGACAGCGCTTATCAGCAGGTGCAAGTGGAGGAGTGGGGAATCAAACCTGGTTCTCCCAGATTAGAGTCCACACACTTAACCACTACATCAAATGGGCTGAAAATACTTTTCATTGTCAGTACAACCGGTATTAGCATCATGGAAAGCGATAAGCTAGAATCAAACTCAGTGGTTCTTTAGGAAGGTGCCGTTGAGTTTCAACTGACTCATGGCAACCCCATCCACCAGGCAGGCATTCCAGGCAGGAGACAAGCAGAGGTGGTTCGCCATGGCCTTCCTCTCCATAGCAACCCTGGTCTCTTCTTGGTGGTCTCCCATCCAAGTACTGACTGTGGCCGACCCTGCTTAGCTCCCAATCTCTGATGAGCCTGGGCTAAGATGGGCTATTCAGGCTGCTGAAAAGTAAGAGAGCCTTTTTAAAAACCCCGATGACATTTCTTGGTGAAACGTTACACATATCCTGCATTAGGGAAGGAAGGGCTGGATCTATTGGGTGTTGTAAATAAGAAGCAGGAGACTGACCAGTTATGAAGGTGTACAGAGAGTTCATATAGTTATAAAGGTGAATATATACAGAGATATTTACAGGCTATTGTACAGCATGTCGTGCCTTAGTCTATGAGAACTAAGTCCCCCTCAGCTTACTAAGCTGATAGCTATTATGCTAAACCCCAGCCAATCTCTAACAGGGTGATGCAATCACTAACTCTAACAAGCCCTGAGAGTAACACCTGCTAGAAACCACCTGGCTGTCATTACATGATTACTAGCATGACAGCTGGTTCTGACAAACAGATCAAACTGATCTATAGTAACTGCTTGCTACCTCTATCATACTGACATATATCTCAATAGGATCTACATTAAATGTAGTGAGATTTACCTCATAGATGTGTTGAACCAGAGGCCCAATATCATCTTCTGTTTCTGGGTTCTCCTTGGGTTGCCAGTTGGGTATCGGGAGAAAGATATGATCGGGCGAGGAGACACTGCATTGGTCAAGGAACACACAGTCACAATCACACGCTGAACAATCTGAGGAGGTCGTTACACAGTTCAGAAAATAAGCCCCTGGGTAAAGTGGTATGAGACTCAGGACTCACCCTCTGATTTCGACAGCTGCTAAGATAGCCAGGTCCGACTGATAAGATATCACTGGGCTTAGGTTGTCAAATAAGTTTGAGCTGTAAAAAAAAAGTACAAAGGCATAGAGAGAACATTCAGATTCAAGCCAGGACCCACCATCAAGGGAAGACTTGGGGATTATGTTCCAACAGCATACCGGGAATCGAATGTCTGTGTGTGAAATGCTGTGAAGTCACAGCTGACTCACAGCAACCCCAGCAAGGGGCTTCAAGCGGAGAAGCAAAGGTGGTGTAGTGTAGTGTAGTGGTTAAGTGCACAGACTCTAATCTGGGAGAACTGGGTTTGATTCCCCACTCCTCCACATGCAGCTGCTGCTGGTGTGACCTCTGGATAGTCACAAGTTATTTCAGAGCTGTTCTCTCAAGGGCAGTCCTCGAGAGAGCTCTCTCAGCCCCGCCTACCTCACAGGGTGTCTGTTGTGGGGAGGGGAAGGGAGAGGAGATTGTAAGCCGCTCTGAGACTCCTTCGGGTAGTGAAGGGTGGGGTATCAATCCAATCTCTTCTTCACCTCTGTACGTCTCTTGCTCTGACACCCTGACCAGCTTGCCGTAAGTTGGCTGCGATTTGATGGCACTTTTCACCAGCAGCAGCAGTGGGGAGTGCGGGGGGCTCTAACTCTCTCGTTCTGTAATTTTCCCCACTGAAAAGTGCCACTGGGTTTAACCCAGCTGGAGAAAACCCGCGTACTTTCTCCAGTGGGGCAAAAGAAGGTGGGAGGTGGTCCACCTTTACCTCCGGTTTCTCGTATTTCAGTCTCAGGCCGTATAGCTGTATTCTGTTTTTTAAAAAATGATTGGGGGAAAATGATAATGGAATGAGGCAGGGCATGTACTTCCACCTTAAGACTTTTTTGTTACCTCTGTTGCTACTCCTTTGGTAATACCGTTCAGTAACAGCCACGGTTAGTTAAAAGGCAGGTAAAATGTAGAAACGTAGAGCTAGAGGGGCCCCCCAAGGGTTGTCTAGTTCAACCCCATACACAGTGCAGGAAATTCACAGCTACTCCCCCCCCCACTCCCCAGTGACCCCTGCTCTATATCCAGAGGAGGGGGGGGGAACTCTAGGAACCCCAGGTCAATCTGGGCTGGAGGAAAATGCTTTCCTGACCCCAAAGTGGCAATCAGCATTACCTTGGGCATATAAGAAAGGTCCACGAGAACTAAGCACTGATGCAACCCTTCCTGCCCTCCCTTCTCATGATCTGCCTAAGTTCACAGAATCAGCATGGCTGTCAGATGGCCATCTAGCCTCTCTTTGAAAACCTCCAAAGAAGGAGAGCCCACCGCCTCCCCGAGTAAGCCTGTTCCACTGAGGAACTGCTCTAACTGTCAGGAAGTTCTTCCTAATGTTTAGCCAAAAACTCTTTTGGTTTAATTTCAACCTGTTGGTTCTGGATCCAACCTTCTGGGGCCCACATGCAAGGTACGTGCTCCTTACCTACGTATCTGAAGGTCAAAGTTCACGAAGGTATCCATCTCGGACTCTTGATGCACACTGAAATGAAGACCTGCCGAAAGCTTTAACAGAAAAGAAGGAACAGAAGGTCAGAACTTGGGCAGATCCTGAGAGGGAGGGAAAGGAGGGTTGCCTCAGTGCTTAGTTCTTGTGGCCCTCTCTTACACGCCCAAGGAGATGCTGGTCGCCACGTTGGGGCCAGGAAGCAATTCTTCTCCAGGCCAGTTTGGCCCCCAGTGATCCTGGAGGTTTTCTGTCATCTTTGGGGCATGGAACAGGGATCACTGGGGGTGTGGAGGGGGAGGTATTCGTGAATTTCCTGCATTGTACAGGGGGTTGGACTAGATTACTCTGGAGGTCCCTTCCAGCTCTATGATTCTATGACTGACAAACAGAAGTGGGCTGCTACCAACAGCAACACTTCACCAACCGCAGTGCCTTGCCAACTGGAGAAACCCCAGAATGTGGTGCTGCCCCTCTTTAGAGACGGGTTGCTCTGCAAACACAGACTTGACGTATACAGAATGTAGCTCTCCTTTTGTTTCGTACATAGCAGCAAACCAGTTAAGTAGGTGAAAAGTATGCAGACGGAGAGTGATTCAGCTAAGCATACTTTATTCAGTCAGGAACAAGACACCTTGGCCGGCTCGCAGGCCGGCTTATATTCCCTCAGAACCCACCACCATAACACACCCCCACTTCCCGATAAGCTATTTACAGTAACTGAGAGGCCTATTGGCCTCACGGTCTGGGACCTAGCCCTCTGATTGGGTCGAGCTAGGATCCTACTGACCCATTGTCTTTAGGCGCGAAGCTTGAGGTTTTGTCCCTGGGCAAGTCCGGACATGCCCGGCCCTGTCAGGGCTGGATACACTACAGTAGGACACTCCTCCTTACTTTTGTCCCGGCTTTCATGGGATTTCCAAGGTCGCAGACCACCAGCCGTGTCTGATTCTCTGTCTTAAAGGCACAGGACAGCCTCGCTAGAGCCTGCAGGGAAACAAAGTTGATTTTCTTAAAAAAAAACAACACAAACAAACCCAGCACAGAACATTCTGTTATGTCCCTAAGAAAGTGACAGAAAGCTCCACATATACTTCCTCCAATGCACATAAAAGTTTCTAAATCTTGTCAGTTCAACACAGTTCGTCTGTCAGGGGGTGGGATACGACCAGCTTTTCCCACTGGTGAAAAAGGAAGGGGCTCCCTTTGGCCACCCAAAATTTATTTATTTATTTATTTGTTTATTTATTTATTAGATTTGTATCCCGCACTTCCCAGATGGGCTCAGGGCGGCTTCCAACAGCGGCAAATCCCATAACAAACAGTTAAAACAGTATAAAACAATCAATAAATAAAGTGCGGTGCTCTAGATATTAACTTATCTCTCCAAGATGGGATCCTTTATCACCTAGCCTGGCAACATAGGTTCTTGGTCACCTAGGCGTCTTCCCAGGGCCGGTTCACTTATAGATCTAATCCACCGTCATAGATGGCAACTCGGTGGATCTCCTCTGGGAGCTCGTTCCACCAGACAGGAGCCGCCGCCGAGAAAGCCCTGGCCCTGGTTGCGGCCAGCTTGATGTCCTTGGGGCCTGGAACCACCAGTAGGTGCTGCGCCCCAGACCGTAGTGCTCTTGGGGGAACATATGGGGAAAGGCGGTCCCTTAGGTACCGCCTACGGTGGGGATCGTTGGGACCTACATGGGAAAAAGCCATATGGGATGGGGACTAAAATAATTAAGGGGATGGAACACCTTCCCTATGAAAAAAGGTTAAAGAGGTTAGGGCCCTTTAGCTTGGAGAAATCACAATGGAGGGGTGACATGATAAGAGGTTTACAAGACTATGCATGGGATAAAGAATGAATAGAAAGAAGTATGTTCCCCCCTTTCTTACAGTACAAGAACTTGTGGGCACTCAATGAAATTAGTGAGCAGTAGGCTTAGAACAGATTAAAAGAAGTACTTCTTTACCCAATGAGTAATTAACACATGGAATTCACTGCTGCAGGAAATGGTGGCGGCTACAAGCATAGACGGCTTCAAGAAGGGACTGGATAAACATATGGCGCAGAGGTCCATGAGTGGCTATTAGCCACAAGGTATAGATGGAACACACTGTCTGAGGCAGTGATGCTCTGTATTCTTGGTGCTTGGGGGGGGAGCAACAGTGGGAAGGCCTCTGGAGTTCTGGTCCCACTGGTGGACCTCCTGATGGCACCTGGGTTTTGGCCACTGTGTGACATAGTTTTGGACTGGATGAGCCATTGGCCTGATCCAACATGGCTTCTCTTATGTTCTTGAGACTATAATAAGGAGGGGATACGGGGAAGACTGAGTGAAAAAGTTGGCAGGATCCAATCCAACATCTACTCTGATTAGTGGTGGCTCTCCCAGGTCTCAGGCAGAGGCCTTTCACATCACATCACATCACTTGCTCTTGACCCCTTACACAGAGATGCCAGGGGTTAAATCTGGGACCTTCTGCTTGCAACATAAGAACAGATGTTCTCCCATGGCACCTCCCCTAAACGGCGACTGTTTTCCCACTTGGGTGTAAGCCAATATGTTTTCAGCATTGTGCAGTAATAAATTATGCTATGCCATATAACACTCAACCATTTCTTTCTTCAGCCTAACTTCAATTTGACTGTACACACGGCAAAGTAGTATCCAAGCATGCATCAAGACAACCTCCCTGCCTAATTTATGAAAATCAAAAAAGTCACCATCAAATTCATAAAAATCACATAAGCTTCTGTCTAACGCATTGCGTCAATGATGTCTTTTCCCATTTCATACACTATCCAAAGCTTTGTACGATGCCATTAGGTAGTAGCTATGAATTTGGCAGTGATACAGCTGGGTTCATCAACAAAACAATATTTTGCTTGGTTAACATACAAAACTGTTTAGTTTCAGATAGTGTGTTTGAGATAGTAATACCGACATTACTTCCTCATGAAGGTAATCCTGTACGCTTTATGAGAAGGAATATCTCCAGCGGCAAAAATTTTTGAGGAATTAATTGATGCCCCCCCCCCCCCCCAGTTTAAGGTGAGGATCATCCCTTTTTATAGATGCAGCCGGCTGTCTCATGCTGGTCCCTACGACTGTCTAAACAGATAAAATTAAAATAGCTCCAGCAGGTCAAGGCAAAACCAAGGAAGCTTCAACAGAAGGGTGTTGGCTCACTTTTTCTAACATCCTTCTTCCATCAAATACCACATAAGCAAATATGAGGTGATCCATGCTTGAGAGGAGACGGGTGGAGAGTAATGGCAGGGTCTCAGTTAATTACTCTCAGCATTCCACAATTAAGGATACATCTGCCCACCAGTCTCCAATTCTGACATATTTATGTCCTTCACTATGTTCCCCACCCCCTCCGGAATTAAGCCCAAACAAATGGTAACCATATAAACTAAGCTTGTTATTCCTCTTTCGTCCTTGAATCTGTTAAGCATCTTCATTATGCTGTATGCTAATTTACTGCTCTCGCCCTCTACCTATATGTATGGACTGCTTATTTCCATTTCGCTGTATCTGAAGAAGTGCACATGCACACGAAAGCTTATACCTTGAATAAAACTTTGTTGGTCTTAAAGGTGCCTTGTAAGCGAACTTGGATCTTGTGTATCATTTCCGTGGGATTTCTGCAAACTTGGGAGCTTCTGGCCAGAGCCCTAAATGCATGACAAACTGTTTGTGGTGCCCAATGCAGTTGCTGCTATTAGATACATACTGCTGCACAGCTCTCAAAAACGGGGTCGGGGGACTGTACAGATTTGCATGACCACATATTTCAGGGGTAGCCAAACCTGCTTAACGTAACAGCCACACAGAATAAACGTCAGATGTCTGAGAGCCACAAGACATTAACAAATATCACATACACATCTTAATTGGAAAATATGCAAATTTGCTTTTTAAATTAACAGTAAATTAGACTGTGTGAAAGAGCCGCATGCGGCTCCCGAGCTGCAGTTTGGCCACCCCTGAATATCTGAACCGAGGCTTTTTTCATCCTTGCAACAGTTCCCCAAGATAAGTTTATCGCTTCCATTTTACAGTTGAGGAACTGAAGGCCAAGAAGCAGGGAACTACCCAGTCCATCTACCTTCCGAATGTAATGAGATTCCTCCAGACAAAACACAATATGCTTGTCTACTGGGCCAGGCTGGCTACCCTAGCCAAGGCCACAACTCTAAGCCATAACAGTCGTTTCCTCGGACAAACTTTTTTGCCCTCAGCCAGACAACAAAAATGTTTCGACATGAAGATGAACTTTAAAGATGATGTGAACAGGGTGAGGCCAGGAGAACTCCAGGAATTACAACTGGTCTCCAGGCAATGGAGATCAGCTCCCCTGAAGAAAATGGCTGCCTTGGAGGGTGGCCTCTGCGGCATCGTACCCTGCCAAGGTCCTTTCCCTCCCTTTCCCAGACCCTGCCTTCCCAAGGCTCTGGGCCCAGATCTCTCAGAACTTCCCAAGGGTTGGCAACTCTACGCTAAACAAAGGCCGAGCATGGGGTCCCCAACCCTTTTTGAGCCTGTGGGCACATTTGGAATTCTGACATGGTGGCATGGTGGGCACAGCCACAACGCGGCTGCCACAGGAGGTGGAGCTAGCCACAAAATGGCTGCCACAGTGGAACTTCGGTAACGGGTTGTAGACCCTTGTGCTGTGGTGCCGGCTGCTGCCAAAGCAACATTTTGAAAAGATCTGCACCGCCAATCAAAACTTCAAGAGTCAGTCAGAAACCTTGCAGGGCAAAAAGCTTGACCTGGTCTCATACACGTCCTAAAAACACTAGGCAGGAACCAGAAAAGGCGCCAGAAGGGACCATGGCGCCCACGGGCACTACGCCTAGCAACACAACAGCTACACCAAGCAGTGTGGAGAAAAGGAGGTCGAGGGGGGACAGGATGGCTCTCTTGAAGTCTTTGAAGGGCTGTCGCTTAGAGGAGGGCAGGGAGCTGTTCCTGTGGGCAGCAGAGGAGAGGACTTGCAAGAACGGGTTTCAATTCAGGGTGGGAAGGCACCGGCTGGATCTTAAGAAAAACTTCTTTACAGTCAGAGTTGTGCAACAGTGGACTTGGCTGCCCAGGGAGGTGGCGAACTCCCCTTCACTGGCAGTCTTTAAGCAGCGGCTGGACAAAGACTTGTCAGGGATGCTCTCGGCTGACCCTGCACTGAGCAGGGGGTTGGACTAGATGGCCTGTGATGGCCCCTTCCAGCTCTGTGATTCTATGATTCTATAAGTGACTAAAATATTCATGGACCTACCTCATTGTTACGAACGATGCCAATAAAGTCAGCTTGAGGAGGGACGGTAACAAAGAGTTCTGCTTCGTAGGCTCCTTCCCCTTGATTCTGGGCATTCACGATGAGCGTTAAAGGGTTGTCATCACCGATATATATCTGCTTCTGGTCGCTGTACAAGGCCAACATGGAAGAAGAGAGAGCTCTCTAAATCAACGTGTGCACAGGGTTATATTAAACGCGTGGCCTACTGCCACCCTAGTGTTGTGCTAGATCAGCAGAGTGCCCCCGAAGAGAGGAATGGACATTCATCTATGGTTACAAAAAATATATATGACAATTGTAAATTACATGCTGAAAAATATTCTTTAAAGGCCTACCCCTGGTAAATGACTTCATCTAATATGACTTGGCTCTGACCACGATAGCTCAGGCTAGCCTGGTCTTGTCAGATCTCGGAAGCTAAGCAGGGTTGGCCCTGGTTAGTATTTAGATGGGAGACCACCAAGGAGGTCTAGAGTTGCTACACAGAGGCAGGCAACGGCAAACCAGCTCTGAATGTCTCTTGCCTTGAAAATCCCATGAGGGGTCACTTGTCAGGGGTGCTCTAGGCTGATCCTGCATTGGGCAGGGGGTTGGACTAGATGGCCTGTATGATGACCCCTTCCAAATCTGTGATTCTAGAAGGAGAGATTGGATTTATACCCCGCCTTTCACTACATGAAGGAGTCTCAGAGCGGCTTCCCTTCCCCTCCCCACAACAGACACCCTGTGAGGGAGGTGGGGCTGAGGGAGCTCTTTTAAGAACTGCTCTTTCAAGAACAGCTCTGAGAGAACTTGTGGCTGACCCAAGGTCACACCAGCTGGCTGCATGGGGAGGAGTGGGGAATCAAATCCGGTTCTCCCAGATTAGAGTCCGTGCTCCGTTTTTTTTCCCTTCCCCTCCCCACAACAGACACCCTGTGAGGGAGGTGGGGCTGAGGGAGCTCTTTTAAGAACTGCTCTTTCAAGAACAGCTCTGAAAGAACTTGTGGCTGACCCAAGGTCACACCAGCTGGCTGCATGGGGAGGAGTGGGGAATCAAATCCGGTTCTCCCAGATTAGAGTCCGTGCTCCGTTTTT